AGCAGGAATACAGTTAATGGGGAAATGCTTGAAGGGTTTTTGTTGAAAATGAGAAAAAAATGCATTTCACTTTAGTTTTTCTAATTCCCAATGAAGTTCTAATTCTCTTGTGCTGGTGAAAGGTAGACAGGTTTTTTAACCAAAAGTATTTTCCCTATACTGTGCATATGGATGCATCACATACTTTTTTAAATTCTGTGGAACGTTTCTTTTGATAAAAAATGTGAAGTGATATACTAATGAGAAGATAATATTAACTGTGGAAGAATATTAGCAAGATAATTAACTTAGTAATCATTGGAATATGGACTCTGATGAATCAAGACTTAACTTTGCATCTGAGAAACGTGCGTTAATGTCAAAGTCACCTAATGCCAAAGTCACGTGAATAAATGATCTTTCACTTTATACATAGTGCAGTTAGTACATACTTAAAATTCTCCTACCAATAACATAAAACCCTTATTTAAGCAAAATTAAAATACTATGAATTAATTCACATCAAATATCTAAAAGGTAAGTGAAATATTTTTCAATGTATAAGGATGTTAGCACATATGTCCACTGAGTGAATACTCTCAAACATTTGATATTGCCATTAAATTACATCAAACATCCAACAGATATTGTCATTTTTCTGTGACTTATAAATAAATCATTCCTTTTGTATAAATCAGTACATATATTCAAAATCAATATTAATATACCAAAAATATAAAAGTAACTTAAACTTGGCTTAGGAAAGGAAGAATATGAAAGAATTATCACATTTCAGTCTGAAATAATAGTCTTACTCACTTTGTTTCCATAGATTGTTTCAATGGTTTTAAAACTGATAAACAGAAAATTCAGCCACATCACTACTAATAGTTCTGAATAAGACATTTTTCATAAGGGCCAAAACGTACAGAATAGTAATATTACAATGTTACAATATAAATATGTCAAGCAGATTTGTAATAAAATAAGACATACTTATCCTCAACAGATCTGTTCTGAAGATTGCACAACGAAACAGATCTAGAATATCTTTGGGAAAAAAAACACAAAGTGCCATTAACAAAGGTTCAGTTAGACCATACTTGACTAAAAAATACTCTTTTAAACTCAAATGTTCTCTCTATATAAGGAAGTTTAACTCATGCCTCTCTTTCAGTACTTAATAATTGTCTCTATACCTCTGTGCTGAACTGATGGAAGTGTAGAGTTCCACTCTTATTTACCAAACATGCCAACACCTAATGACTGGTCTATTATCACGCAGTGGTTATACAAGGGAACTCTGAGCCCAACATAACTCCTGCAAAATGCAAAGGAAATAAGAATATGAGGAAAAGTTTGCCTCAACGAGAATATATCATTAACAGAAATAAACGTTTTCAAATGCAAAGTTTTATAAAACTAATAAATTGTCGCATTAGTTTAAAAGAAGTTCAGAACTGTTTTACTGTTGTTCAAACTCATAAATACACTCAAGTCAGTAAACACAATTTGACAGAAGACTTGTCAAAATGCAATCTAAACTAAATGATAAGTTCACATTGTAATTAACAAGGACAAACATTTCTGGTCCTAATGTTTAAAAAACCCAGTTTAGTGCTGCCATATTTCAAGTTCTGAAAACCTAAGTGCAGAAACAATTCTGGTTACACATCGACTGAGTTTCTCCACCTTAAAACATACTTGAAACTTGAGGAAAATTTATGTTTAAGGCTTGTCTATGTTTTGTATGTTAAACTGAGAAAGGACAGTTTACAATGAAACCTCAGAATGGTCGAAATAGCTTTTGACATTGTTTTTTAAAAGCTAGTATGAATCTATCACTAAAAACCATGTTTCTCTACTATAATTATGAATTCAAATTTATGTAAGAACCCTTATTATCTACTCCTTGGCAGATACTATGTCTTCTAAATTCTGTGCAGCTTCCAGAACAGTCAGTGCTCGGGGAAAAAAAGAAAATAAGTGGAGCAAAATCAAACTCCCCACAAAATGTGATTTACCCTAGATTACCCGAATTCGCTAGTAAAAGACATGAAAATTCACACATACATGCCCATATATAATACAAAACCAAGACACGATCTTGGTCCTTTGTTATGTAAACCTGCAGTACTAGAGACAAAGTAATAGGAAACGAAGAGCCCACAAACATCATGTTATCGGGGAAAGGGGAATTCCATTTTTTCCTAGGAAAAATTTATCCTTGGTTAAGTGGATAATCCAACAATGAAAACTATTATTGGGCCTCTCTAAATTCCTTTCCATATTCACAATTGTTTTTAAAATTTCAATACTTTGCAACTTAAATTTTCATTTATAGGGTAGCTGGGGGTCCAAAATAGTCAAAAAGGGAAAGACTATTTAGTGCACAATCTTTATAGACATTTTATTTTGAAGCACCTTTTTAATGTTAACGGTGGGTTTCTAACTAAGAAAACAGTGAAATAAAAATGAAGCAACCACTAGCAAGGTTAAAGTACTCCTTTACACACACACACACACACACACACACCTTCATGCCAAAATAACTGGCAGCACTGGTAGATAAATTCACTTGATGAAAGAATGGGGAAAGTATCACTTATGGTGTTTATACAAACCTAAAATACAAACATATCTGCTAAGAAACTGAATAGTGTGGGGGAATGAAAAAGCTACCAATAGCTGACATATGAAAAAACCTGAGTTAAAAAAACGGGACTAAAAGTAAAAAAAAAAAAAAAAAAAAAATCTAACAGAAAGAAACAGAAGTAGCCTCCATTATATTTCCTGATATCAAACTACTTATTAATCAGATGCCCTTTGTTTGCAAAGGAGCAGAATCATAACTATCACTGGAACCTACCCCCAGCCATTTCCGTGCAGTTTCTACCAGCACTATGTGAAGGCAAAAAGAAAGCCACCTGACACTGCCCCTGAAAACCTCATGGTTAGGATTCCCTTCACATATATTTTCTTAGGATCTCAGCATGTGTACAGAACAATAAATGAAGGCAATATCTGACAGCGATTACAAAAGTATGAACTATATACACTGTAATGACACAAAGCGCTTAAGAAGTTATATTTACTTTCCTCCCAGTTCACTTAAAATGTTAATATTCGCTATTCAAATTCAAATTTTACCCTAAGCATGTTTCCTCCCTCCCAAAACAAATAATAAAATATACTGGTTTGAGGTTTTGCACTATGCATTTTCCAAGAGCCAATCAAACAGTGACTTGCATCTTTCCTCATTAGAAGCATTTTCCATCACTTCGTAGTACTTAAGCACAGCCTGCAGAAGGTCTCCCACTTTCCATCCTTTTTCTTGTAAGCATTTTGAAAGCTAAAAAGATATTGAAAGATATTACAAATATTAACTGAAAGTGATTTTATAACAATAAAGTTTCACTTTATTTTTAACATCAGATAAAACTAAAAAGCCTGCTGTTTACAATTAACTATTGCTTCCTGGTTATAACAAGATCTCCCCTCAACCGCCACCCCCTTATCCAAATGAAACATTTTCCCCTTCCTGCGCTTTATAAACACATCTTCTCCACAGAATGACATTTTGGGACTGCCAGACAGAACTCCACAAACCTCACCCAGTGGACAGTCTGTGTGGGAGTGCAGAGGCTAAATTTCTACAGGAAATTCTTCACCTAACTAAATACATCCACCACACCTTCAATTAGGAACATAAAATAATAAAGACAACGTCAAGCTTAATAAAAGGAAGTGGATTTTCCTTCCACAGCACAGTGTGTTTTTTTTTCTAGAATACACACTTTAGCCTCAACGGAAATACATCTTTCTAAGTTAAGAAACACTAATGTTTCAACGACAACAAAAAAAGTAAATACATAGATTTAAATCTACTCTTATCACCACCAATCAGAACATGTCTTCCTTCACTCATTTTTTTCTAGTAAGTTCTATAAAAGGTCTTAAGTTTTATAAGATCTGTAAGTTAAATTCTGAAAAGCTATTTTTTTTTTGTAGTGGAAATATGCTTAACCTTTTTTTAGCTTTATTTAGATGTAATTGATGTATCATACAATTTATCCAAAGCTTACTAGTTAATGGTTTTAAGTTCAGTCACTGAGTTCAATACAATCATCATGACAATTATTATTAGAACATTTTCATCACACCAAGAGGAAAGCCCTATCTGGCAGAAATCACTCCTTATTTCTTTCCAAGACCCTTAACTCTAGACAACCTCTAATCTACTTCTGGTCTCTGTCTTGTTCTGGACGTTTCATATAAATGGAATCACAAAATGTATGTAGCCTTTGTGATCATCTTCTGTCACTTAGAATTATTTCAAGGTTCCTCCACAGTGTACCATACATCAGTACTTCATTACTTTTTAATGACAAGTAATGTTCCCCTGCATGGATATAGGACATTTTACTTAACCAGTCATCAATTGATGGACACCTGGGGCATTCCTACTTCTTATTTACTATGAATAATCTGCCATGTACATTTGAGCACATTTTTACATGAACATATGTTTCCATTTCTCCTGGGTATATACCAAGAAGTAGAAATACTAGATTATATAATAACATTATGTTTAACTTTTTGAAGAACTGGAAGAATGTTTTCCAAATTGGTTGTTTACTTTACATTCTCGGCAGCAATATATGAAGGATCCAATTTCTTCACATCTTTGTCAATATTTGTTATTATCTGTCTTTCTGATTAGAGCCAATCCTAGTCAGTATGAAGTGGTATCTCATAGTGGTTTTGATTTGCATTTCCCTAAATAGCTACAAAGGCTGAATATTTTTCATATACTTATTTGACACTTATATAGGGAGACGTCTATTCAGATTCTGTGCCCATTTCTAATCGGATTATTTATCTTTTAATTATTGAGTTATAAGAGGTTTTTACATATTCTAAGTACAACTCTCTTATCAGATATGAATTTTACAAATATTTTCTATTCTCTGGATTGTCTTTTCACTTTCTTGATGGTGTCCTTTGAAGCACCAACATTTTTCATTTTGCCCTGTGGGGCATAGTAACACAATTCCTTCTACTCGAACTCTAGCTCCTTTAGGGATCTGGGGCCCAGCATCTTTCTCAAGCCACTGAGTCAGATAACCATGAGGTTAGTCACATAGGATTCAGTCACCTTAACCACCAGACCACAAGTTAGGCCCCTAAATATACTTTTATATTTTCTTTATGCAATTATATCCTCACCTTCTAGTTATGCTTATGGTAATAATACTTCTTCTATTTAATAGAAAAGATGTCAGAATTACAGCATATTAACCAGAAAGACACAAAATATGTCTATTATCATTATTATTACCAATGATATTGTGAGCTCTGCCCAGACCTATATAGCCAATGAGGTCATTATCTAAAATAAGCCATGTGGCTAAAACAAGCCATACACATTATTTAAAATAAGCCACAGATGTAATAAGAAATTCACATTCATATTTAAGCACTTAAGTCATCAAGCAAAGATCCTGAGGGCTAGGTTACATGGAGACAAGATCTCTCTACCTAATAAGTCTTCCTTAGCCCTCACTTTACCTAAGAGTAAGTGATTCTTGACAATGCTGCCTCCTTGAGGTCAATTCTAACACTTGCCCTACCCATTCTTTCCCCTTGACAATTCATTTTTCTGGCATCTTTCTGTTTATTTTCTCTTCCTGACCCAAAATAGAAACTAAACTAGGAAAGTTGAAACGTCTAAGGAAAAAATAAATGACAAAATACAAAATAAATAAATAAATAAATAAAATATCTTTTTCATATACTTCTTTCAGCAATACTTTCATCAATTCTGAGCCAGAAGATGAGAATAACTTGACTGTACCATTTTTGTTCATCAATCTACCTTGGTTACTCACTGAACTATTCTATATCCTACAGATAAGATTAAACCAAAGTTCCAAGAAGGTAAATTATGAGACAAAAACCTAAAAACTGAAAATCATGACTAACAAGATGCTCAGTGCTGGGCACACAGTGAGTACTACAATAAAAGTATCTTGTTTAAACTTCTATTGTTCCATAATTTCTTTTTTAGTTTTTAAGTTTTTGCTATAGGGCATGTACGCTTGCCAGAGAGGGAAAGTGAGAAACCATCCCCTCGGGGTATATTGTCATGCTGCAGTCCTTTCTCCTCCATTCTCCTCTCAGGATTTTGGGTATGGGCGCACACATACCCAGCATGATTCTCAAGCTGCTGAATTCAGGATTGAAACCACTCAGTCAGCAATATGGGATCTGGCTCCCTTAACCTCTGTGCCACCTAATAGCCCTTTATTAGTTTAATAATATGCCAGCTTTTCATACAAATGAAACTAAGCTGTCAAAGAGATATAGTAATTATTAAGTACAATTATGAATCAATTAAATATAGAGAATAAATCAAACTTGTCATAGATAAACACAAAATGCTTATAATGGCATTTAACTTTGAGAACTTGGTATGCGCCAGACACTAAGTTGCATGTTTTCTCTTTTATACTATTATACTTAATCCTCAAAATCCCCAAGTAAGACAGATTCTGTACTCATTTCTAGGGTACAGCTAAGAAACTGAAAGTTACGCTTTCAGAGAGGGGCAAAGCTAACATATGAAGACCAACTGTTGGACTCCATTGCCCAAGTTATTTAACCACTCTGCCTCAACAGGCATCTTATTGGACCAACCATGTGACAAGAACGTGACATACTGTTAAATGTATCCTCATGGGGCCAGCATGACACAGTGGTTAAGGCACTGGATTCCCACATGACCAACTGAGGTTCAAATCCTGGACCTGATAGCTTAAAGATCAAACCACGTGCATGTGTGTGCATGCCCAAAATCCCAGGAGGAGAATGTAAAAGAAGGGACTGCAGCCTGGCCTTCCCTTGACAGGATGATTTTTCATTTTTATTCTCTCTCTCTCTGGTGAGCAAACATGCCCTATGGCAACAAACTGGAAAAAGAAAAAGAAGGGTTCTCGTAACCATTACATAGTGTAGGTACTTACTAGCATAAACTCCTTCTTTGACGAGTCATGGAAATAAAGTTCTGCAACTTCAGCCTCAGAAGCAAGAAGCCACTGAAGAATAATCCTTAGCTGGGGGTCTACGGGGCATGGTTCCATATCAATATTCGTAATTAGTAGAGACTTTCCATCTTGCCCCAAATCTAATATGAAAAAAAAAGGAAATTCATCAATTTAATTCCCAATACAAACATTTTTTTTGCCTTTTTTAAGAATTATTTTATCTAACTTTATTATTTTTTTAATGTGACCAGGGAGAAAGAAAGAGTGAAAGTGAGAAAGCAAGCCATCACATCCAGGACTCAAACCATGGTTGGCCATGTGGGAGTCCAGTGTCTTTAACCACCACACCACCTGCCAGCCCCACTCTGGTTTTCAAGTACATACATATTTTTCATTTCTTAATACTCCAAAGAATGCTGAAAAAATTTTTTTTTAAATCAACCTTTTTTTCCCTGTCTTTTTTGAATTAATTTTATTGAGGTTAATTTATATACAACAAAATGCACCAACTTAATCGAACATTTCAAGAAGTGTAACTAGTTTTTATACCTGTGTAAACTCCAATACAACCAAGTAAAATATTGACCCCAAAGTTTCCCCCAAATTTCTTTTTGGTTAACCCTTCACCCAACCCAATCTCAAGCAACTACTTCTCTGCTGTGGATGTAGAATGTTTTTTTTTTCCTACACTTTCATATAATCAAAACTATACAGTATGTATTCTTCTGTGTCTGCCTGCCTTCATTAAACATACTGTTCTTGAGATTTACCCATATTGTCTATCAAGAGTTAATCCTTTTTTATAACATAAAAAATGTGTCTTTGTGGGAATCCTCGTTTATAACATCAAAAATGTATCTTTACGGGGCTGGCAGGTGGCATGGTGGTTAAGGTACAGACTACCACATGTCTGATTGTGGGTCAAGTCCTGAATTCAGCAGTGTAAAACTCATGCCAGGGAGATCAGCAGATGGCATAGTGGTTTTGTTGCTAGGTCTCACATGGCCAACCACAGACTGAGTCTCAGATCTGGAGGTTTGAAACTCATCCCAGAGACATGTATGTATGTACCCAAAATCCCGAGCAGAAAATGGAGGAGAAGGGATTGTAGCATGGCCATCCTCTCTTGGGGGGTGGGGGGGAGCAGGGGATTTTTGGCTTTCTGTCACTCTGTCTCTGTCTCTCCAACAAGCACATGTGTCCTATAGCAAAAACCTGTCTCCAAAAACCAAAACAAAACAAAAAAAAAAAAAAACAAGAAAAGAACACCTTATGCTAGGCATGTCCCGCACAAAATCCCAGGAGGAGAGGGGTGTGGCATGGCCATCTCCCCTGGGGGAAGGGGTGATTTTACATTTCTTCTCTCGCTGTCTCTTTCCAGTAAACACATGCACCCTACGGCAAAAACCTAAAGAAAAAAAAAAAAAAGAAAAGAAGAAAGTCTTTGCAAGGACAAAATCATGATAAAACAAAGGAGTAACTCAGAACACTTATTGAAAACACAAATGTGAAACATTATTTTAAAGTGTATAGAATTCAAGTACTATAAATGCCATAATCTGTTTCAAATTGAGGTCCACAGATAAAAAGAGAGACAATAAAGCACAAAGCTAGCAATACAATGAAAATGGAACAAACAAAAGCCTCAAATCAAAGAATAGCAGCAAACACTTACATAGCACATATTATATATCCTAAGAACTGTGCTAATCTCTTCAGATTCACCAACTTCTTTTATCCTTGCAACCTCCCTACCAGGTAGAACTATTATCATCTCCATATTACAGACGAGGGATCTGAGAAAGAGAGAGAGACCCAGAGTCTTAAAGTGGGGAATGGCTGAGCCAGGATATGAACGGAGGCAGTCCGGTATTGTTCGTGGATGTCTCTAATGTCTGTTACAGTCTGCAGGGCCTTCTGGATGAGTATTAGTCATTTTTACAATTTGGGCCAGCCCCCTAATTCTTCAATTTAAAAAATCTGTCCCCCATTATTCTCTAAAAATAAATGTTTCATCTTTCCCTCCCCTCTGACTCTCAATCAGAAACAGGACTGGTACAACTACAGTACATGACACGGTCTCTGAAACATTTTGTAGATCTTGTAGAATTTACAGAGTTAGAAGCTAGGTCACTCCAATGCTTTTCTGGTAATATTATCAGTTCAGAGTTCTTGGTTGCCTCGTCTGATAGAAACCTTCAAAAGGCTCTTTTTAAAAAACAAAAACAAGGGGCCAGCAGTTAGTGTAATGGCTATGTTGCTGGACTCCCACGTAGTCAACTGTGGTTCGAGTTCCAGACTCGGTGGCTTAAACTCATGCCAGATGTGTGTGCGTGCGTGCCCAAGATCCCGAGAGGAGAATGGAGGAGAAGGGATTGCGGTGTGGTCATCCCCCCTGGGGGGTGATTTCTCACTTTCTGTCTCTCTGTCTCTCTCTTTCTGGTGAGCACACGCACCCTATAGCAAAAACCTCTCCAAAAAATATATATATATATTATTTGCTTTGGCACCTGCACACACCAGAGAGAGACAGACAGAAAGAGAAAGAGGAAGAGGGAACAGCAGGTGGCACAGTGGTTAAGACACTGGACTCCAATGTAGTCGACTACAGTTCAAGTCCTGAACTCACACCAGGCACATGTGCATGCCCAAAATCCCAAAAGGAGGATGGAAGAGAAGAGATTGCAGCATGGTGATTTCTTGCTTTCTGTCTCTCCAGCAAGCAGAAGTGCCCTACAGCAGAAATCTCTTCCCCCCCCCTGCCCCGCCACCAAAAAAAAAAAGAAAGAAGAAAAGACAAGAAAGAGAAAGAGAGAAAGAAAGCAAGCTGCCAGGTCCAGGACTCAGACTGCAGTCGTCCATGTGGCAGTCTTAACGCCCCAACCACCACCCCACCTGCTAGCCCCAAACAGCTCTTTCTTTAGAGCTCACTAACCACTAGTGAAAAGGGAAGAGGGTGATACCCTGCAACCACAAGAGAAGGAAAAAAAAATTGTTACATTAGAATTCCCATAATTTTGAATCATTCTGTAAATCAAGACCAATCTCTCTCTTAATTTATTACTTTCTAATAGAGTAAATGTGAAAGTTGGTTATAACCTTCCATATAATGAGATATGCCTATACTCTAACACATCTACATATAATTAATCTCTGATTTCCACCTACTCACCAAAGAAATCCTGAACAGCCTGGCTAGTATCAAAAGTAAAAACTTTTAGAGGAATTTCATATTTATATTAATACTTATCTACACTTTTCTTACTCAGAAAAATTAGTTAAGTGATTACCATTTCATTAGAGAAATGCATTTATATCATTACAGTCTTTGGAAAAACTTGTTCACAGGTGTTACCTGCGAAAATGTATACAACTTTTATAGAAAATGTCAACATATTTTTTAAAAAATTTTTACAGAGATTTTTTT